CTCAACAATAAAAGATCAATCTTTAACTTCAGATCATGTTATTACTTGAATGTAAGGTCCAATAGAAATTGGACAGAGTTGCTGAAGGGGAATATGTGTTTTTGGCTTTCATAGATTATTCATCATCATGGATATTTTAAGATTTTATATTCTATCCTCAATCTTCTTTTAACTCTTTTATTTTCTATAGGGGAACATACATTCTCTGTTCGAAAGTGGGGAAAAATGATCAGCGATGAAAAACCACACAGTACCCAAAGAATTCATTCTTCTAGGGCTATCTGATGACCCAGAGCTCCAGACTGTGATTTTTCTCTTTTTAATTATCACATATATATTAAGTGTCACTGGAAATCTGACCATCATCACTCTCACCTTGGTGGATTCCCATCTACAGACCCCTATGTATTTCTTCCTCAGGAACTTCTCTGTATTAGAAATATCCTTTACAACTGTCTGTATTCCTAGGTTTCTGGGCACAATTATCACCAGAGACAAATCTATTTCATACAATAATTGTACAGCTCAGTTGTTTTTCTTCATCTTCATGGGTATAACTGAGTTTTATCTTCTCACTGCCATGTCCTATGATCGCTATGTAGCCATCTGTAAACCCCTACATTATGCAACCATCATGAACAAAAGAGTCTGCATTTTACTTGTCTTTTGTGCTTGGCTGGCAGGATTCTTAAATATCTTCCCACCAGTTATTCTTTTTCTCCAGTTAGATTACTGTGGCTCCAATGTCATCGATCACTTTGCTTGTGACTATTTTCCCCTCTTGCAGTTATCTTGCTCAGACACATGGCTCCTAGAAGTGATTGGCTTTTACTCTGCAATAGTCATACTGCTTTTCACTTTGGCATTAATAATTCTATCCTACACGTTCATCATGAGAACAATTCTGAAACTGCCTTCCGCCAGTCAGAGAAAAAAGGCATTTTCTACGTGTTCCTCTCACATGATTGTCATTTCCATCTCTTATGGAAGCTGCATATTCATGTATGCCAACCCTTCCGCAAAACAGAAGGCATCATTGACCAAAGGAGTAGCCATTCTGAATACCTCTGTGGCTCCTATGATGAATCCATTTATATATACCCTGAGGAACCAGCAAGTAAAGCAAGCCTTTAAGGATACTGTCCAAAAGGTTATGTTTTTCTCCAGTAATTGAAGGCATTAGTAGCATTACAAGAATGAAGTGCTTGGAAATGCTTTCTGTTATTCACACTTTCTCAAAACTCCCTTTCCTTTACTCGAGTTATGTGTTTTCCCCTTTTTTTCCATCCCCCATTACAATTTCCCAATCATGGAACTCAATAAATTTGATAATGTGAATACCGTGTCAGAATTTTCTGTACATTCAAAAGTTTTATTCAAATGTATTTGGATGAAGTAATAAAATTGGGTTGATGATTATGATTTTGAATGGG